CCCCTCCGAGTTGACCGTGGTGTAGGAGACCAAAGACAACTATTGTCCCCTCCGAGTTGACCGTGGTGTAGGAGACCAAAGACAACTATTGTCCCCTCCGAGTTGACCGTGGTGTAGGAGACCAAAGACAACTATTGTCACCTCCGAGTTGACCGTGAATCAGGAACAAACAAGACAAAGTTACAACACGACTAGAACACATCACAATCTACAGTCCAAAGACTGGGAAGAAATCCTTCCAGTCACTGTGATTGTGAATTGTCCTTTTTTGTCTGTACTCCTCCAAGATTCGGGTTCTTTGTCGCCTCAACTGCCTTCCCAAATCGCCACAGAAAGTTACAAAAAACCAATGCTCTAAGGTCACGGGGATATAAATACAAACTAAAATATGGCTTAGCGATGTCAAGCAAACGTTTGGTCCCAGGAACACCTCGTGGGGCCACAACGGGCCAGACATGCTAGCGGACGTTGCGTCCCGAATGAGTTCAACATTTTTCAGTGGATAGGAAATTTAGAATTTAACCTGGGTGGCGGCCGAAGCCTACTCTTATCCATTTTAGACCACCAAAGGATCTTTAACGAGCGCAATCTGGACACGGGACCTCCGAGATTTTCCTCCCTTGCCCGAGAAGGCTAGCTGTAGATCTTTCCTACCAGAAGATCAGGAGTGTGGCTGAAAGACAGCAGTTAGGAGGAGCCAAGGAGTAGCAGTAGAAAGGCTGCAGAGAGAGTCAGGAGCCCAGAGGAGGGGGCAAAAGAGGTGAGGGGGTGGGGGCAGAGAGTGGAGACGAAAGTAGACGACAGAACATTGCTAGAAAGCAGGAAAGGAGGTGAAAGGAGACAATTTTAGAGAAGAAAATTCCTTCGGTTGCTATCCGGAATACAACCCGGGACCTTTGAATGAGAGGCCAACACCTTAACCTCTAGGCCACGAGAGCCCTCACGCTAACCTGAACACAACGATAACACAAAGATAACACAACGATGACACAAAGATAACACAACAATGACACAAAGATAACACAACAATGACACAAAGATAACACAACAATGACACAAAGATAACACAACAATGACACAAAGACAACACAAAGATGACACAGCGATAACACAACGATAACACAATGATAACCTGAACATTTTATTTTTCAATGAAACATAATAGCAATAGAGTCAAAAACTGTCACCCTACACTGGTTAAATAGATCAAATCTGCCTTCAAAGGGTGCCGATATGTCCACAGGGGAGTGCCATTCATCTCTTCAACAAATGTCACAAGACTTGGTCTAACCCAAATCTCAAGTGCAATTCCTCCAAGATCAGCGGTAGATTCCTCCAAGATTGGCGGTAGATCTAGCGGTACACAACTCCTGACCAGGACAAACAAGTCTTTGTGCACTCACATCATTTCCTTATTCCTCTGTTCACCTCGGCACACAACATGACAACATGAAGCGAGGGTATGGTGATGGAGAGAGGGAAGGAATTCAAAAGATACACACATATATATCCTTTAGATAAGTTCTACAAACAACAAAGCATGTTCCTTCCTTGTGTTCACAAATAGGGCACAGTGTGCAGGTGTCGGCAGGCACAATAGAGGAAAAGTCATCAGGTTTTGGGGATCGATTCATCTATCTCGTTTATGACAATCCACTGATCTTGACCATCATAGCTTTGGCTTTGAGCAAGAGCCCGCGATACATTCCAGACCCCACATTCACTGTAGTTCTCCTACACAACATAGAACACAACAGCCCCCCCTCCCACCACATCCACTCAGTTCCCCTACACAACAACACAAGCAGAACACGACACAAATCCCCACACAGACAACAACACACGCAGAACATGACACAAATCTCCACACAGACAACAAACCCAAGCAGAACATGACACAAATCTCCACACAGACAACAAACCCAAGCAGAACATGACACAAATCTCCACACAGACAACAAGTTCCCCATTCACACCCAGAGATTTTACCACTTTGCAGTCACTTGGAGCAATATTGATCAGTTCCGGTCAGCCGGTGTAGTGTGTACTTCTGTGCCAGGCCCGAGAAGTCTGATGTAGTCGCTCTCCTGGCTGGGGGAACAGATGGGAAGTTTTGTACTGCTGGCTGCCGGCTGTGTGACTGCAAAGTGGTAAACCCTGTCAACTGGTTCACGTCTGCTCTCTATCTCATGGAGACCAACTGTCAACTGGTCCACTCATGTCCTCTATCTCATGGTGACCAGTTCCTCCGAGGAGGTCGGGTGAATGGCGACGCAGCTGTCGAACTGTGCCTTAGTGGCGCCCATCTTGATGGCCACGCCGAAGCCTTGCAGCATCTCGTCCACACCCAGGCCCACCATGTGGAGACCTACCACCTGAGGGAGATACACACACAGGCACGTTACATCACACTTATAGACACACACACACACACACACACACACACACGTTACATCACACTTATAGACACACACACACACACACACACACACACGTTACATCACACTTATAGACACACACACACACACACACACACAG